GGGTACATTCCTGGGTTGCAGGCCATAACCCCCAGCAACCGCACATTGATGTTTCTCTCTCTCTCTCTCTCTGTCTCCCTCCCTTCCCTCTCTAAAATAAATAAATAAAATCTTAAAAAAAAAAAAAAAATATATATATATATATATATATATATATATATAAAATACCTAGGAATACATTTTGCCAAGGAGGTGAAAGACCTGTACTTGGAAAACTATAAGACATTTAGGAAAGAAATTAAAGGGGATACAAATAAACAGAAGCATGTACCATGTTCACATATAGGAATAATTAATATCATTAAAATGGCCATACTATCCAAAGCAATATACAGATTAGTGCAGTCCCCATAAAAATAACCGATGACATTTTTCAAATAATGAAAACAAAAAATTCTAAAATATACATGGAACCACAGAAGACCTCAAAGAGCCAAAGTAAACCTGAGACAGAACGAAGTTGGAGGTATCACACTACCTGACAGCAAGGCTATAGTAATTAAAACAACATGGTACTGGCATGAAAACAGAAATATAAATCAATGGAATAGAATAGAGGCCAGAAATAAACCCACACCTATATGGTCAATTGACCTATGACAATGGGATAAAGACAGTCTCTTCAATAAATGGTATTGGCAAAAATGGACAGATACATACAAAAATATGAAACTGGATTGGTTTTTACCGTATACAAGAAAACACTCAAAATGAATTACAAGACAGACTCAAAATCATAAAATGCTGGAAAACATAGGCAGTAAACTTGACATTGCTCTTAGTAATAATTTGTTGGATATGTCTCCTTTGGCAAGGGAAACAAAAAAGAAAAATAAACAAATGGGACTATATCAAACTGAAAAGTTTTTGCACAACTAGGAAATTATCAACCATCTAGTTCTATGAAAAATGAACAGACAACTTATTGAATGGGAGAAGACATTCACCAACGATACATCCAGTAAGGGGTTAATACCCAAAATATATATGAAATTCATACAACTTAACATTCAAAAGAAAAAGATAATTCAAAAAGGGGCAGAGGACCCGAATAGACATTTTCCCAGAGGAAGTACAGCAGATATATGAAAGGTACGCAACATCTCTAATCATCAGGGAAATGCAAGTTAAAAGCACAGTAAGGTATCACCTCACACCTGTCAGAATGGCTAACAACAAATCGTCAAACAACAAGTGTTGATGAGGATGTGGAAAAAAGGGAAGAACCCTCGTGCATTGTTGGTGGGAATGCAGATTGGTGCAGCCACTATGGAAAACAAACTGCCTTATGACCCAGCAATTCCAGTTCTGGGTATATATCTCAAGAAACCCAAAATGCTCATTTGAAAGTATATATGCATCGCTGTATTCACTGCAGTGTTGTGTACAATAGCCGAGGTATGGAAGCAACCCAAGGGCCTTCCAATAGATGCGTGGGTAAAAAAGTGGAGGTACAGATGTACAGTGGAATGTTACTTGGTCATCAGTGAAAGTTTACCTTTTGTGACAGCATGGATGGACCTGCAAGATAGTATGCTTAGTGAAATAAGTCAGATATAGAAAGACAAATACCATATGATTTCACTTCCACGTGGAATCATTCATTTACAAAATAAATGAACAAACCATTCAGAACTAGATAGAACAGATGGTTGCTAGAGGGGAGGAGCTAGAGGGCTGGGTGGAAAGGGTAGGGGGATTAAGAAGTACAAATTGGTCGTTACAGAGTAATAGGGATGTAAAGTACAGCATAGAGAATATAATCAATAGTATTGTAATAACTAAGCCTGATGCTGGGTGGGTACTTGAAATGTAGGGGATGGGAGGGTTGCTTTGTAAAATCTGTGATTATCCACCATGCTATATATACCCAAAAGTAATACAAAACAAATACTGCATGTAAACCATAATTGAAAAATAAAAAAATAATAATTTGAAAAGATACGCGCACTCCTATGTTCATTGCAGTGTTATTTACAATAGCCAAGATATGGAAGCAACTTTAGTGTTTGAGGCAAATGGACAAAGAAGTCTCCTTTCATTAATTTTTTTAAACATCTAAACATTCTGTTTTGCTAATTGCATTATTTGACCCTGTCAGTGTATTAAGATTCCATTCAAAAAAGCACAATGTATTTTAACCTGCTCATGACAATTTCAGACAAAATTTTCAAAAAAAAGTAGAAGTGCCCCGAACAGTAATAATCTCTGCTGTCTAAAAGGAACCAGCTACCAGTTCCAGTCCAGATGGAAGCGTAGGCAGACCTGCTTCTCCTTGTGCAGCCACAGAAAGAATTTACTTCTAAATAATTTATTCTTATTGATGCTGTTACAAGTGGAATTCTTTTAATTTTATTTTTGAAATTTGTAAAATCGTTGATCATTATGAAATGTTCCTCTTTGTCTGTAGTAATATTTCTTTGTCCTAAACAGGTTTTTTTTTTCTGTCTGATACATATTATCACTCTAGTTCTTTTATGGTTATTCATTTGTTTTTAAAATATATATAATACAATTTAGAACAAGAATAGAAACACTAAAGTATTAACAGTTGTACCTGACTTACCGAATTGTGAGTTTTGTTTTTCTGTGTATTGAGTTCTGTGATTTTGTATTATAATTAGAAAAGATGATTTGTGTACATTTTAAAAATATTTTCTAAGTTAGACTTGGGGGCTCCAGAAAGCAGAAACTGCCTCTAACAAGTAGAAAGAACTTGAAAGATACTGGGCCAGTCACAGAACCAACGGGAGAGGAGAGCTGGAGGTCGGACTCAGGAGAGGCCAGAGGTGCGGCCGCTGTGGGCCTGCGGGAGTGGGAGCTGCTCGCGCGCCTCCTCTGGGTGACGCCGCAGGAGTAAAGGAAGGAGCTCCAGCTGCTGCTGCTTCTCTCTGACCTCTCCAGTCAGTACTCAGAATCCAGAAGCCAGCGTCCTGCTCCAGGCGAATCAGTCACTCTTAACACTTGGCAGGGAAAGTACACACTGCACCTTGGGTTACAGCCGCAGGGCTCCGCACGACGGGCCAGATTGGTTGCCCACGGTGAAGTTAGGGTGCAGTTATCAAAAGAAGGGAAATGAACTCTGGGAGCTAGAAAGGCAGCAGATGTTCACTAAAATATTTGACTTTGTGTTAATGCAGAATTGTAGTTTACAATGCTAGTCATGAAAACTATCAAAATGAATCATTTGTTTTGACTGTAGGGATCCCAGTTACTGTCACGTAACCTATGTAGGAGGATTTACCACATTGGAGTTCTCCCAAATTTCTGCCCCACTTGACTCCGAGTTCCCTGTGTTCCATAAAGCAGTGAAATTAAATTAGAAAATGAGGAATTAGAGACTTACAGTCATACTGAAGAGGACTTGTGATAGTTTCACATTTCCTAGAATCCTTCATCTTCTCCTTCCTGGCTTACCTAATCATCTTGTACTTATTCATCAAGACAGCTCAGGCATTACCACATCCAGAAAGGCTTTCTTTCTTAACTTGTGTCATAGCCCATTCTACTGTTACTGTTCGTATTGGTGGATTTGTCTGTCTCCCACACTAGCCAGGCTGGCAGACTCTCCTTTGTCTTTGATTCTCCAGCCCCTTACTTAGTGTCTACACACCAAACACTCAGTGAGTACCTGTTGAATGAGTGAATGGATTTGCCATAGAAAAGAGGGAAGGCATTCCACGTGGGAGCCAGCATGTGCAAAGGCATGGCCTGTGGTACGCTTAGGAACGGCGAGGAGCTCCATAGGATTAGATCATAGAAAGATGAATGGGATAGTGGGTGAGTTTGACCGGAGTTGGTCTTTAAAGGACTACCCGTGCCAAGTTTAGACAGCTCTGTAGCCTTAGGAACAAATGAGATTTGGCAAGGGGAGGAGGCTGGCACACTAGAGACGGCGACCAAATCCTGGCTGGGCTGGAGCTAGCAAGGAGAACCCTCAGGTGGTGGAATACTGCTGGTCCTGGGAGTCACAGAGGTTCAGGAAGCACATTCACCTGCCACGCGCCAGCAGGCAGTTCTCTAGGTACTGGGGACATGGTGGTGAAAAACACGGACGGGGTTCCTACTCCCGTGGACCTTTTTCTTTTTTCTTTTCTTTTTTTTTAAGATTTTATTTATTTTTAGAGAGGAGAGGGAGAGTAATATTGATGTGTGGTTGCCTCTTGCACACCCCCAACTGGGGACCTGGCCCACAGCCCAGGCATGTGCCCTGACTGGGAATCAAACTGGTGACCCTTTCGTTTGCAGGCCTGCACTCAGTCCACTGAGCCTCGCCAGCTAGGGCTCTTGTGGACCTCTTATTCTACTAAAGGAAGACAGATGAAAACAATAGACGGACACATAGGTCTGTGTTCACAGTCTCAAACCTAAAACACCGTGTGGCAAGTAAAGTGCTGCAGGTGGAGCGTCGAGAGCAGGCTGCAGGGACGCCCTCAGAGCGTAGCTCGGAACCTCCTTTCCTCGCCCACATCCCAGCCATTCACTGCTAGGTTTTACAGGGATGATGAGTGGTGTTGTACGTGTTCTTTAGGGATATACCTAAAATCAAAGTTTTGTAAGCTTTGGATTTCAGAATATGAGTAGCACTTAGGTACTCTCCAAAAACTGTTGGAAAGAGAAAAATAATTATATCACCATAAACTTTCTTCTGCAAAAGTGATACCTTCTATTTTATACTACACCTAGGGAGATTCATTCTTAAAGCTCAGTTAATTGCGTATATACTAGGATAAGCAAAAACCAGTCATCACCGATGTTATTGTCAAGTTGTGTGTGTAGTTTACGATTTCTAGTGCCTAAAAAATAATCTGATGTTTTTCTAACTTCATCCATAATCTTGCCAACTGTTCAGGGACTTTTCCCTCAATAGAATGAACTCGGTTTAAGTAAAAGTTTTTAATTCTAGGAGTAAACACTAGCATGTGCTGAGAAATGTAGTCTTTTCATTCTCTTCCAGTTTGGGCTCATTTAATGATAAAGGCCTTTCCGCTCTTTTGCAGGGTGCTGATAAGACTGTGAAAGGTCCAGATGGACTAACTGCCTTTGAAGCCACTGACAACCAGGCAATCAAAGCTCTGCTCCAGTGACGGGCGGACGGCTGACAGCTCTGGAAGAACGCCTCTCCTGTGGCCTCACACTGCTGCCTGTCTGTCTGTCTCTATCTGCCGGCTTCTTCAGCTAAACACTTCAAGAGGGGTGAGGGGGGAGAGAGATTCATAACAAACCAGATTACCGGGGAAAACAATGTTTTGGAGGAGAGGAAAAAATCATGATCAGGCTTTTACTAGAATTCCTGATCAAGTCATCCTCTTTTCCATTTCAAAAAAAAAAAAAAAAATACACAGCTTATACCCAAGGGAGAGCAAAGACAAAACATACCATGACATTTGACCTTCTCAGCCCCTAGCTAAGGTATCAATCCGACTGTGTCGAGGGTCTGATGCTCAAAGGCCAACTACCCTATTTGGCGGCCCTCGCTGCGAGCAGCAGCGGCTGCTGCGATGTAAACCTAGGGTGCTGAGATAAGCAACTCGCTCTAGCCTTCTGCCTTAAGGTGCACTCTGCGGGACTCTCCCGGCGTAGTTCAGAGCGCTGCCTGTGGTTGGTGACCAAATCTCCCCTCGGGGACTCTCCTGGGCGTCACGCGAGAGCTCGCTTCGGGTCAGGAGGGGCGCACTCCTAAACTGCTAGGTGACTGAACTTTGGGTTTCCTCTCCCCTTTCAAACGGATCTCATGTATCTTTAGGTAAAACTGACTAGTTTTATTTATAAAATCTTAAATTTTGGAAGTCTATAGGAGAAACCATTCCAGTATGCCTGTTTTTCTTCTCCTCTAGATTCACCCATTTATATAACATTGAAACACTTTTAAACTCCTGCTGGTCGTAAAAGGGGATGTAAAGGTAGAATCATAGCCATACGCCTGTTCGTGTCCTGCAGAGAGAGCAGCTGTCTGAGGGCCTGTGGGTTGGTCTTCCCCGCTGGCCCTGGGAGCGGAGTGGCCTCGGTTCTGTGTGGGGCGCGGGGCCGCTGCCGCTGCCTCCCTGTGCCCAAGCTCCTGCTGGGGCGAGGCCGACTTAGGGAGCGCATTTCACCCCATCTCCTCTCAAACATGCTTGTGACCTGGTCTCCCCAAGTTGTCGATCAGCTTCTGCTGAACATACGCCGACCCACCCGCATAGTATATTTTTGTCTCTTTTCTAAATCATGCATTGTGGAAAGTGTGACACCTTGAAAATATATTCTGTGTCTTTAAATACCTGCTCTAAAAGGTTCTTACGACCTGCAGAAAATGTTTAGACACATTTTCATGTTTATTTCATGAACAGTATAACTAATTAAAACATACACCCTTAAATTTGGCTGTTTTGCATTTAAAATACCAAGATTCCTTTCCCACCCATATAAGCCACTAAAAATATTAGGATTTTTCCTTAGCCACATCATGCAATAATTGAATGTACCTCAAATTTTTAAAAAGGGAGGGTGGGTTAGGGATGTGTATCAGATTGTGGATAATAAAGAATTATGGATTTTTTTTCAGGCAGTGTAGCATTCAGCGGCAGTTAAACTATCAAGAACAGGCAGCCTGGCTATTAACAAATCTTACCGATCAGTTGCTGATTGGTTGGTTGGGAGGGGGTGTATGTATTTTTCCCTGTGAACCCTTTTTTTAATCCTGAGGCTTTTTTCACTTACAACTAGCCTAACCCTGTAATTTTTCTGCATCCAAAAAACAATCACAAAATGGTGGCTTAAATACTTTGATACGTTTGGCTAATTCTGCTGCCTTATTGCGGCCTATTAGAGTCAGGGTCAAAGTCAGTAGTCAGTCCTTCATTGCATCACTGAACTGAAACCTGGAGCTATCCTCACTGAAGACGGGGGGCACTCTCTCAGTCTTTACTTGTCACGTCGTGACAGGGTGTTTTGATATCTCTGTTTTCACCTCTTGGCACATTGTGATCTAAAAGGCTTGCTTGGATTTCATCCTCCACACGGTGTTGACCTTCACACCCTAAGCGTTACGCTGCAGTTGGCCATTGCAGAGAGTGCTCTGTCCCGCCGTTCCTAACCCTGGTCTGCTTTCCACAGTCAGCGGCGCAGAGGCCGCGTGACGGTTTGTGCAGCTCACCCCGTGTTCCTCGTGATGCGGTAGAGGCTGCTTCGCCGCCCTCTCTCAGCCGTTTTGTAAACCCCTAACTATGAAGAGGTTGCTTGAGAAAATAACATACAAACATAGAATAGACTGACCAAGATGGTTTACAATTTTTTTTAAGCTAGGTTATTTATAATGTTATTTCAGAACCACTTGGCAGAAAAATTCACAACACTTAATGTTCATATTTTGAGTACAGGAAGTTAAAACCATGTCTGCTTTTTGGTACTACATGCATTAGTGAAAGGTTAAGTAAGGTTTTTTTTTTTTTTTCTCCACTGAAGTAATATTTAACATCTCAGCAAAAACCTTGCATGTTATGTAGTTTTGTATCAAGTCAGTCATTTCGTATGCACTATAGCAATTAAAAACAGGTGTATGAGGCACCTGAGTGTTTACTATACTATTAGTATACTAACAGGTTCCCCCTTGCAGCTTCACACTGGTATCTACAGACGTGGGGTTCAGACCCAGCACCGGAGTGCGCCCGAGTAGCCCTCCTACACGCGGCTCACCTTCCACACCCAGCGGGGCGTGAAGCAGAGGGAGGTGGGTCCGTGTGTGGAAGCTGCAAGCAAGTGGCCCCTTATTCCATTGGTTTCTTTCTCCCCAGTCACGGAGTTCAAATCTGTATGTACCTCTTTGGTTTTCTTCCTTCAGCCTTCAACTGAGCTGCTGTTCTCTTCCATGCAACATTGTATACTCGACTGTGTATAGAAGCTGGTGAGAGTGCCCTCCTACATAAGCAATTGCAGTGTTTTGCATGCAAAATTTTAAAAATTTAAATGGTCCTGATTCTATTTTGTAAATGGAGAAACAATCATATCTTTCTAAGCAGTAACGGAGGAAGACTAGTGCTTTGTGCATTTTGATATATTTGAGTTCATTTTTTCCACAACGTAATACTTTTGACACCATTGGGTTTCTCATATTACTCTAGTTCATGTACATCAGAATGCTAAGTAATACTGTGTTTAAGTTTTGTGTTGCAAGAACAAATGGAATAAACTTGAATTGTGCTACAGGTCACGTGCCAGCGGCGTCTTTCCCCCGAGGCTCTGTTCCAGCGCCTCACAGCTGGACCGGTACTTGGACCGACTCGCACTTCTGATCTAAATTTTCTCCGAGTCCCACCGCCGGGGGAAGTGAATAGAAAAACAAGACACAGGAACGATTAAATTGGAATAAACTATTCCAATTAAATTGTGTGTCAGTCTCCTGATACAAAATGTTTCGTGATAAGTGGTCGGTCCCAGTACACGGCACGAGGCAGCCAGCACGTCTTGGGGCGTGAGGGTCTAAGTCAGCGTCAGCGTCGGTCCTTCCACGAGTGCATTCACGTTGCCGCCCATCCCGGGGGGCACGGCTGCAGGTGTTTCCCCAACTCCCCTGACGGTGAGCACTCGTGCCGGGTGTGCTGTTCAGCGTGAATGTTCTGATTTAACATTAAATGACTTTGAACCTTAAAACTGAACAAGATTCTATGTAAAATTTTGTGATTCTTCTGGAATCTTGTCAGTACGCCAAGACTACTGTGTAGTTTACTTTGAAATGGTCCACTAATAATGGGGAAAAATGTGCAGATGCTAAAATAAGAGTGAAAGCTGTCTCAGAACTTTGGGGTAGTGTGGCTGTAGGTGGGTGTGTCCATGGAAAAGTTTATAAAAGCATTCAAGTGCTTGTTTCAGGAACTAGAGTCTATACAAGTAAGCCTGGCTACCATGTTTTAAAGGAGACAAGAGCCCTCCTGTCTAATAATGAGGAGCAGGCCAGTGTCCGACAACAGAAGGCACACTTCTGTAGGAAAGCGAGCGAGCTTGGGGTCAGTTCCTGTGGGATTCTTTTGTGATGAGAGAGCCGTATCCTGAGAACTTGATAGACACGCCCAGCCTGGGCCTACTTAATCCAACTCGGGCTGGGCCCAGCAATTCCGGTGCAGCGAGGTGGTTCTGATGTGTGCCCGAGTTTGGGGACCAGTGCACAGACCATAAAGGGACAGAGAAATACTGGCCCAAGAGCCTGTAAATAGGATGTCACCAAGGCTGGATTCCTAGAGAGAGAGTAAGGGGAAGGTTTAACACAGGAGACATACCAAAACTCTGGACACGTCCTGAAGCTCTGGACACGCCCAAAAACACCTCAAGAAGTTATGTTCAGGGCAAAAGAAGTTGGGGTAACAGGGAACAGTGGCTCCAAAGAGGGAAACATTAGGGAATTTGGGGGAAAGCATCCTGAGCCTCCTCACTGCGTGCTCGCCACATTGCAGGTCGGCTGTGGGATTGCTGCAGCCACCTAGCAGTGCCCCTGCTGGCCTCTGCCTCCCATCCTGCAGCCACAGGGAGCCCCCTCCTGCGAGGCGGCCAACGGCTTCGTTCTCAACCCCGCTGCCCCGTGCTGGCATCGGTGCCGTGACCAGGGACTCTCCGCTGCCGTGAGGACCTGCGCCAGCTAGCTGTATTCTGTTTCAGGTCAACTGTCCCAGATGCCAGCCAGATCACCCCACATCAGCATTAGGGTATTTTTTTCCAGGCTTTTTTACTTCACTGAAATATAATTACTGATGGAAAAAAAAATTATCAGCAGCTTTAATAGCACCTGACACTCGGTAAGACATTCACTGTATTTGTTCTGAACCACTGATGTCAAACCGTTAGACGGTCAAATGTGAGATAAGCTTCGTTTCCCTGAGCCCTCGCCAAAGGATGGCTGGCCGTTAGAAGCATGGGGCCCAAGTGTCATCGTACCCAAATATTGGCCGCGTGGCCTTAAAGGTACTACTGATGTTGCAAGCCAAAATCAGTGAAGTATAAGACAAAGAGCGCAGAGTCGCAGCAATTCATAGAGAAAATGCTGACGGTGGGGTCAGGTGGAGGTGGCTGAGCCATTGTAGCCTATCCTGAATGAAGCACAGCTGTAAACAGAGCAGTGAAACAGGGCCGTCCGGCGGCCCAGCAGCTTCTGGGCCTTCTGCAGCAGCAGCAGAAGGGAGAGTCTCATTCACGGGGTCCGGACAGAAGGATGGCACATGGGTTTGGCAACACCCGCAGCCACAGCACTGAGTCCCACAGAGGAAAAGGACGCACAGACAATTCTGGGCCTCAGGATGCCGGGGTGGAGGATCCTACCCGGTAGCTGAAATCATGTGTTAGAACCATCTTTTTCTAAGGGCTAATGAGTCTGAACGTGTTATATATCTGTATTTCCCTTCCTGACGTCCAATAACGTTCCATATGCCTCTCTACGTCCCCTGTGAGAGCCTGCCGAGCCCGGTTACGTTGCCACTGCTTGTGATTTGCTAGGCAGATCTCCGTAGGCTGGAAAGCACTCTGATCTAAGCTATGCCATTTTACATTCAAGTTTCCAGATTAACATTTATTGTCCTGAGAACTCATATTACCTTATTCAGTTGTCACAGTAAAGAGATGTTAGAGAAGGCAAATCACTTGTTCGCAGCCGGTAAATGGCACATGAACGGTGGAGTGGATCCTGTCCCGTTTTACAGCCCCTGGTCCCACAAAGTCAGTGACAGTGAGAGCCGTTCTCACCCGGAGGGGCAGAACCCGTGCTCAGACCCGCTCCCCTGCTGGACGCTGCTTCAGTCTATGGGATGCCTCTGTGGCACAGTGCTGTGTTTTTTTTGTTTTTTTTTTCTTGAACATTTGATCTCCAGAACTTACTTATTAAATCTTTGTACACGTTAACCAACAACCTCGCCACTTCCCCAGCCCCCGTCCACCGCCACTCTCCTCCCTGCCGCTGTGAGTTGGGCTCCAGCAGTGCGCACAGTATCCGCGGTGGGTGGACAGGTTCCAAGCCGGTGGGCGGATGCCTGAAACCCTTGGTAATACCCAACCCCGGATGCTCTGCTTCTTTCCTGTACACACCCACCTCTGACAAAGTTTACTTTGTCAATTACAGCAACTGGTAATAAACAACAGTTATAACAATATGCTGTAATAAAAGGACAGTTATAACAATATGCTGTAATAAAAGTTACGTGAATGACTTTGGGGCTCCTTAGTAAAACGAGGGGACCTGCACACCGACACTGTGACACTGTGACAGCCGATTTGATAACCGGGATCACTACTGAGTGGCTGACAGACGGGGGCGGGGGGGGGGGGCATGGAAGGCGGGGGATCTCATGCTACTCAGAACAGCCCGCGATATAAAACTTGTTTACCATTTCTGGAATTTTTCATTGACTATTTTCGGACCACCGTTGACGGCAGGTAACTGAAACCTCAAAGGAAAACCGCGGATAAGTGGGGGGGTAGTGTAATTTCAGTGTCACACACAGTGAGATCATGCATTACTTGTAGTGTGTCTGACTCATGTCCCAGAGCAGAACGCCCTCAAGGGCCGTCTCTGGCGTCCTAAATAGCAGCCTGTCCTTTCTAAGGCTGGGTAATGTTACATTGTATGTATGCAGGGTAGAGCAAAAGGAGGTCTACGGGTCTGTGAGAGATAAAATTATTAATAAAGGATAAACTCCATTTTGCATACCCACGACTGTGAACCTACTTTTGCCCCACCCTATAAACCACATTTTCTTTATCTGTACACTGATAAACATTTAGGTGGTTTCTGTGTCTTGGCTATTGTGAATAATGCTACAATAAACAAGGGAAGGTAGATCAGACCTCCTCGAGACTTAGAATTCAATTACTTTAGATATAAACACAGATGAAATTATGGGAATGCTATATAGAGAAAACCCTAAAGAATTCACAAAAATATAATAATAATAAACAGACTATGAGAACTACTACATGAATCCAGTAAAGTAACAGGACACAAAATTAATTCACAAATTGTTTGCACTTGTATAGACCAAAAAACTATCAAAAAGAAATTAAGAAGATAACCCCATTTGCAGTTGCGTCAAAAAAATAAAAAAAAATATTTAGGAATAAATTTAACAAAGGAGGTAAAAGACCTGTACTCAGAAAACTATAAAACACTGGAAAAAAAGAAATGGAAGAAGATAAAAATAAATGGAAGCATATACTGTAACTCATGGATAGAAAGAACATTGTTAAAATGTCCATATTACCAATGGTATTTTTCACAGAACTAGAACAAATAATCCTGAAACTTACATGAAACAACAAAAGACCCCAAATACCAAGAGTAATCTTGAAAAAGAAGAATAAGGTTGAAGGCTTCACGCCACCTGATATCAAAGCATGATACGAGGCTAGAGTAATCAAAACAGTATGGCACTGGCATAAAAATGGACACGTAGATCTAGGGAACAGAACAGAGGACGCAGGAAAAACCCACACCTGTGTGGTCAGTCTCTGACAAAGGAAACAAGAACAGGCAACGGAGTGAAGACCGTCTCTGTTCCATAAACAGTGCTGAGCAAACAACAAGACACATGCAGAAGGAGGAAACTGGGTCATTTTCTCACACTGGGTACAAGAATAAACTCAGATTAAAACTTAAATGTAAGACCCAAAACCATGAAACTTCTACAAGAAAACATAGGCAGTAAAGTCTTTGACACCTTTTAGTAGTATTTTTGGGGGTATGTCTCCTTGGGCAATGGAAACGAAAGAAGAAACAAACAAATGGGACTACATCAAACTAAAACATTTTGCACAGCAAAGGAAACCATAAAAAAAAAAAACCTACTGCATGGGAGAAATTCACTAATGTTACATCTGATGAGGAGTTACTATACAGAATATGTAAGAAATTCATACTACTTAACACCAAAACAAACAAACAATTCAATTTAAAAAGTGGGCAGAGGGCCTGAATAGACATTTCTCAAAAGAGGATACACAGATGACCAGCAGAAATATGAAAAGATCAACATCACTAATCGTTAAGAAAATGCAAATTAAAACCACAATGAGATACCGCCTCACACCTGTCAGAATGGCCATCATCAGTGAGTCGGCAGACAGCGAGGGTTAGAGAGGGTGTGGAGAAAAGGGAGCCCCCGTGCACTGTCGGTGGGAATTCAAACTGTATTCTGATGCGGCCACTGTGGAAAGCAGTGTGGAGGTGCCT